CTGGGTCCCCCCCCCCAACACTTGCTTCCAAAAGTGAAACTATAAACTTTTCGGAAGGGTTTTTATACAACTTTCGAATAAAGTCAGCCCATTTCTCCTCTAAACTTTTTAAAAAAACTTTCAGGAGTCAAGCTTCAAATACCAGGTGTTGGTTGATTCGTTCTTTACCAAGCACCGTGTATTGCCAGGAAAATTAGCTTGCTTAGAGCTGCGCATTTGTTTAAAAAAAGATAAATTTTATTTCTTTTTTTTCCCCTTCATTTTTGCCATTTTCAGTCATCAAAAAATCTATACTTTCTGTCATCTAAGCATTGGTTTTTACTGAATTTAAAAAAATGAAAAAGGAGAGAGGAGAGGAGGAAAAAAATCTTTTTTGTGGTTTTTCTTTTTCTTTTTTAACTAATGCATATAAGTGACTTTTGTTTTGGGGGACAACATATAATAAATATGATATATCACTTCGCACTCCAGCCTGTTCAAAATGTACATTATTTATATCTATATATATATATTTATATTATATATATATATATATTTATAGAACACGGAGCATGCCACTTTTCAGTAAGAAAAAAGGTCATGAGAATTCAGTGCAAACTTCTCCGTTCCCCTCGCAGCCTGGCCCGGCTCAGCCCAGCCCCCCTCCTGGTCTTCTGCGATCTGGGCTGGGGGAGGGGGCGTCTTCTTCCTCTCTCCCTCCCCCCCCCTCTCCTTTGTGTCACTCAAGAGTCTTTGCGGGGTCTGGCGGGGTCTGATGCCGGACTTCACTTACTGCTTCCACAGTCTCTGCGCGCTAAGCGGACCGGCTCTTTTGGCTGCCCGAAGAAGCTCCAGATTGGACTCCCCGCCCGTGTCCCCCCCCCACCCCGCATAGCTCCGTTTGTTGGTGTGAGGGTGTGGGGCAGACTGGGGGGGGGGTGCAGGCTGGGGGGGGGGAGCCGGGGAGAGGGAGGCCGGGGAGCTCTCTCACCGCGGATGAGGGGTCCCCGGGATGGGGTTGGACAAGGGGTTGAGGGCCGGCTGCCCGCCGGGTCCCAGGCCGTGGATCAGCACGCGGGGGACCAGAGGCCGCTGGAGCTGGGGGTGAGGAGCCGGCGGAGTCCGGTACATGCTACTGTACATGGCGGCGGCGGCCGCGGCGGCCGTGGTGCTGTCCATGCTGCCCAGCAAGCTGGGGTGGTAGAAATAGGGCGACGGGAACATCCTCTGCAGAGCCGAATAATTCCCAGCTTCGGCCAGCAGCTCCAGCCCCACGGCCGTTTGCCGCTTCCACTTGGTCCTGAAAGAAAGGGAGGAGAGGACAGCCGCTAGGCGAGGTCCGGAAAAAGCCGGGGGGGGGGGGTCAGAAGGGAGCCGCCCCCCCATCGAAAGCCCCTTTTCTCCGAGGAGCAGAATCAAAGGACCACTTGGGCTCGACCGAATCTGGCACTCGTTTTGTTTCATTACCCCCCCCCCAAAAAAAAAAACCCCACCCCAAACTATCTCTCTAATTCTCAAAGCAGGATCCAAATACGGATTGTGGGGCGCAGGGCACAAGTAAAGGGAGGCACGATTAGGAATAACGCGCAATCTCTTGGAAACAAAACGCATGACAGATTGCCTTCCACAGGCGCTAGGTTTGACATAGATCGGCCTTCCTAATTCTCTTCTGGGGCAGAGGGCAGGTGAGAACTCTGTGGGGAGGGGGGGTGGGAATCTATTTTGTCAGAATCCCAGTTGAGCCCCTGCAACTGAAATACCGCACATGGCCTCACTCTGGCGGTCTCCTCCTCTTCTCTCTGCCCCCCCCCAGTCCTTTCTTCCTCTCTCTTGAACAGTTTAGGCACCCAATGGGGCCGGTAAATGTGAAAATATTAATCACGACTGTAACAATAAGGAGGCAAATATCCCGACAGCCCAGTCGGGGAACAGGGTGAGAAGGGCCTTCTCCCTTTAAAAGCTTCATAACTATTCCCTTCCTAGAGAATCTCTCTCCTCCCCCTCCCCCTCCCCGGCTTAAAAAAAGCGTATTATTTACACCTCAGCTAAGTGGTGCTGGCGGGGAGAGGTCAGATTGGGTGTTTGGACTGTCCTCCCACCGCCGATCAAGCTGAAATCGAAGGAATTCTAGATCTGCGTTCTAGAAGCAGAATCCAGAATTCTAAAGGAAGAATTTAGAACGCTGGGGCACTGGGAATTTTATTATTCTAAAATCTACGGTCGAAAAACGTGGGAACGTTTTTCGCCTCTGTGGGAGAAAGGCTCAGGGAATTGAAGCAATTTCATCAGACCCAGATCCCCCCCCCCGTTTTTTTTTAAAAAAATTACCCGTGCAGTTATAAACAACCTAGGTAGACTGTACTCTGTTTATCAAGCAAATGATTCTAGGGTGGCTACATGGAGCCCCATTCCCCGTCTCCCTAGCTGGTGGATCCATGCACACACTGGCGCATCCCCGCACACACAGCTCCTCAATTGCGGCCCAATTAATAAACATGGCGCTCCTGTTTAGATTGGCGACGAATGACACTAATGTTTTCCGACAGAATTAGGGTGGTTGCAACCGTATGTAATGAGACAGAAAATTATGGCAAAGATGACAACTGGACGCGCTTTCCCAACCCCCGTCGTCGTCGTCGTCTGTGCGAAACTACCAATCGCCCCCTGCTTCCCGCTCTCGCGACGCCTTTGTTGCTGTTGACTTTTTGTGGCTTAAAAAAATATACGAACATTGACGGCGTGATTCGCCTCCCCTCCCCCCCCGGTCTCGGCGAGAAGCAACCGTCAGGAAACGATTGCCGGGTGAGCCTCGAATTAAAAAGCAGGCGGGATGGGCGGAGGGAAGGCAGGGGAGAGACTGCAAATCTGGGGCCAAGGAAACGAAGCCGAGCAGGTCGCCCGGGGGTGGATGCGGCCACATGGAGCCGCCTGCCTTATTCATGCGCGCCCTCTTGGGCCTTCCCAGGCGGCCATTGCGCTGCTAACACCACTCTCTCGCTCCTTCTCCGGCCGTTCCCGAGGGGGCAGAATTTGTCCCTGGTTCTCTGGTCCCCTTGAATCCTTGGTGTCCGCGAGGCCTAGCGGTGAAGGTGATTCCCTCCTTTATTTACAAGAGGGAAGAGAGATCTGGGGCCGGCCAGGGAATAAAAGGACGCCTGGACTGGGGGACCGAGACGCACAGAGCACCGTCGTCTCGACAGTTTTCACCTTCTGCAGTCTCGGGGCTCTGGCTCACCAGGTACCGCCTTCTGCGAGGCGCAGCAAAGCGCAGTACCTGAGAGGTGAGGCGCCTTCCTTCAAAGCTCACCTGGCTCGCTGGGGGACTGCTCGTCCGCATCTTGGCTGGGCTTCCAGTGGCCCCCCCCCACCCAATATGTTTTTATACAGACACACTGAGAAAGGGAAATGGAGGGGCCCGGAGGAGAGCCCAAGACATCCCCCGCCTCGCCCCGGGTTGGCCTCCCCTACCTCCGGTTTTGGTACCAGGTTTTGACCTGGGTGTCCGTCAGGTTGAGGGCGGCCGCCAAGTCCATGCGGTCTTGCACGCTCAGGTACTTCTGCCGCTCGAAGCTCCGCTCCAGCTGGTTGAGCTGATGGTCCGAGAAGGCCGTCCGCGCCTTGCGGGGCTTCTTCGCTCTCACCGGGGGGCTATCCCGGCTACTTGTAATTTCACGATCGCCTTCTTCTTTCGTTCCTACGAGCAAGTCACAAGCTCAGGTTTAGAGGCGAGGAAGGAAAGGAAACCACGGAGGCTGGAGACTGGGGCGGCAAAAGCCAGACGCCATCAGACCGCGAGATTTGGGGCTTGAAACCTGGAGTGGGGAGCGGTGGCGGCACTCGACCGACTGCTCAACAGGACGCCTTAGAATTGGCCCTGATCCCCTCTCCCCTACGTAAAACGGGCAGTCCACAACTGCTCAAGTTATTTGTAAAAACTCTTCTAACCCTTTTAACAGACTGGGAAATGGATATGCAGTCTTGATGCGCTGTGGCCATTTCTCTAATCCAAATATGCCTCTTTCTGGAAGAGGCAATTTCCCTCCGGGTCCCTTCCCGACCTTCCCTTTCCCACGTGCATCAGGCAAACCGTCAGTACAATGCAAGTTTCGCATAAAGGTTTGCCAGGGCTGGGTCACACAGAGGTATCAGACCGGACCCAATTCGGCCAAGGCGCACAGGTGACAACGAGGAGATTTCGATATTCTTTTCGTCCACTTTTGGGTCTGGGTTTCTTTGTTTGTTTTTCCTTTTTGTGCCGAAATGTTAGGAAATCGATATGTCAATCCATCTGTGTTTGTACTGCTCCCCCCCTATACACACTTACGCGCTCGCTCTCTCTTTCTCGGCGCTCCTTGATCTTCCCGGCAGGAAGAACAATAATCTCTCTAATTGACCCACTGGGGAGGTTGGTGCACCAACTAACCAACCAAAAAAAAAATTGCTAGACGAGGCTGTACATCTGTTTTTGGGCACTCGTATGCTAATGCCAAAATGGCAGAATGAAGAGCCTACTGGAACGCCCTTCTATGAGCCACTGCAAAATATCTGAAGGCTGCAAAATTAGCAAAATGTGTGGGCTCTTACCTCCGCTTTTCAAAGGCGCCTTCCCCGATTAGAAGGATTCCCTTGGCATGGGGTGTTGTTTTTTTTTCAAAAAAGAAAAACCATCGACAGAATATTACTCGCGCACACCCGTCAAAAGTGTACTTTTATCGCAACCACCACAAAACACATTTTTAAATTCTCTAACCCCGTGATACTGACTTAAAGGGCTTCGATTTTCAAGAAAGAAATAGGACCGCTGACCTAAACAGCCAGATTAAAACAAAAACCTTCGCTTTCTTTTAACTCTCCCGGTAACCTTGTCTTATTAATTAAGTGCCGCTAAACCCCTGCCAGCGGCGTTTAGGAAACACGCAGACATGTGGCATTTTAAAATGCGTATTTGCATTTTCAGATATTAAATACATGCGGCTGGCCTTTTGGTGCTGTCGAAGAGCAGCCCTTCGTGCTGATATTCTTATATCAACAACAGCTATTTTTTTAAGGAAGAAGAATAAACAGAAGGCCAAACTTGCTCTGGGAAAATGCACTCGCGTTTTGTTTTTTGCTTCTTTTAAGAGGCACAGTTGGGGGGGGGGGATTTCCTGTTCCCGCTTTCTAGCTGGGCTTGTCTCGCTTTATCGGTGTTGTTCGGAACCGTCTCTCATCCTAAACTCCAGGCAAGCACGCCTCGAGTGTAAGGGAGCCATTTGAAGACCTCCTGGGCCGTCGTGTGTGTGTGTGTGTGGGGGGGGGTATTTCGCCCTAGTGCGGAAGGCGAGTGCGCGATTAGCTGGGGGGGGGGGGAGGTTGGCAACCTCAACAATGGCCCCTCGGAAGCAGCAGCCAGTTCTCTCCGCCCGCCCGGCCGCCGCCGCCGCCCATTACTCACCGTGGCATTTGAGCTCGTTCTGCGCGTCGTCGCGTTTGTCGAGTTTGGTTTTGCCGTCGTCCTGCTCGAGCTTGGGCCTGAAGCTCTCGTTGGCCGCGTTGCTCTCCGGCTTGGGGGTGTGATGCGGGGAAGAGACGCTGGTGCTGTACGGGGCGCACGCCGCCAGCGGTTTGCTGTCGCCCAAAATGTCTTTGATGAGGAAGGAAGAGGTGGAAGTCCGGGGGGCAGAGCCGGCCGAGCCCAACGCCTGCTGCGGCGGCGGCGGCGGAGGAGGAGGCTGGGGCTGCTGCTGCTGCGGCGACGGCTGCAAACTTGGCGGCGGCGGGTGATGGAGGTGGTGATGCTGCGGCGGGAGCGCATCGGGCGGCAGATGCTGCGGTGGCTGCTCTGGGTGCTCCGCGGTGACCGAGATGGGCGAGGAGGGCGCCGTCCCCACCGTGTCGATCTCCGAGCAGGGCGAGGGGGTGGCCTGGTTGCGAAAATCCGCCGCCGCCGCCGCCGCCGCCCGGGCCTCGCCGTGGGCCGCCCGAAAGTCTCCGTTCATCATGCCCGGGCTGCCGGACCTGGGGTTAGACAAGATCGTGTCGATGCCAAAACTGGAGCCACTAGATCCTTCCATGGTGGCGGTTCACAGCGGCGCCTTCATCCCCCACCGGGCTCCGGGCACGGTACTGGCGCGGTCCGAGGAGGGGAAGGGGAAGGGAGGAAAGGAAAAGGAACGGGGGGGGGGTCGTCTACAAGTTCGTGCGAAACACCGATTTCGAAACAAACCAACCCGATCGAGGACGGATTTGACGGAAACCCGCCAGGCCTTGGGGGTGGGGGTGGGGGCGGGAGACGGTGGGGGGCGACCGAAGACAGACGAGAGGAGGAAAACCAGGGAGAAAATGGAAACGTCCAGCGGCAGGAGCAGAAAGAGAGGGAGGGGAAGTGGTGGAAGCGGGTCGGGGGGAGAAGGAGGCTGGGGGGGCTCCCCTCCCCCGGCGCGCTCGCTCTCTCTCGCTCGCTCTCCCCGGGCCGGGCGCACGTGCGGGGGCCGTATTGTTCAGGGGGCGCGAGTCAGGGAGCCTGGCTGGCCCTGGCCCGGCGGACTAGGCGGCATCGCCCGGCGCTGGGAAGCCGCGCAAGGTGCACCAGCCGCTGAGGATGCTGCGGGGCGGGAGCGGAGGCGGAGGCTGCGCTCGCCCGAGGACGGCCGGCGTGGCTGCCCGCTGCAGCGCCCGATGATCCACCGGCTGGCTCGCCGCTCCGCCGCTCTCTCCCTCTCGCCCGCGCCCCGGAGTTATTGAACTTTCTTGGAAAGTTGAGGCGTGGTGCCGGAGCAGGAGGAGGAGGAGGAGGAGACGCCGAGCCCCGGCCACTGCCTGCCTCTGCCTCGCGCACGCCGGCTCCTCTCCGGCGCCCAGGCTCCGCCCGTGACGTCACGGCCATTGCCGGCCGCCCCGCTTCCCGCGGATTATAAACCCTCTTTCGGGTTCGGGCCTTTTTTTTTTTTTTCCTGCTTTTTTTTTTTTTGGTCCGCCGTGGAGTGAAAGCCCCCCCATTGGTGGACACAATAGCCGAACCCGACGCTCAGCAGTTGGCAGCCAATGGGAGGGGAGGGAGGCTGGCGAGAAGGTGCCGGGCGGGAGGACCGTGTCAATTTCAGAACTGGGGATTGTTCTTTTTCAGAACCTCCGCGGTTTCTCCCCTCCGCCTCCAATTGTGTCTCCGAATAAAAACTGTGAACCCTTAAGCACCACCAGCACGTCAACAAAGAGTAGCAGGTAATTTTTTTTAAGTGGAAAAAGAAAGAAAGAAAGAAAGAAAGAAAGAAAGAAAGAAAGAAAGAAAGAAAGAAAGAAAGAAAGAAAGAAAGAAAGAAAGAAAGAAAGAAAGACTTCTAAGAGGTGAGAGAGAACAGTTGCAGTTTTTTTACATTTTACAATCCCAGCAAGGTCTCACGTGTCCCAGATATTTAAATCAAGAGAACACACTATAAAAACCGCGAAACGAGTCTCCAGACAGGGAGCCCACTCATTCAAAAGAATCCCATCCCAGTTTCCTGGGACTGTGCGCAGTCCTTCTTCCCTCGTGTTGCCTTTGGCCGGGGAGAGGATTGTCTGCGCACCACATCCTTGGGTGGTAGGAACCGATCTGCCTATATTGGCTAGGGAAAGGTGTGTGAGAGGGACATTTCGGTTGGCCGCTGAGTTTCTGTCCAGCTCTCCCAGGGGCAGGAAAGGGAAACACACGGAGATCTCCAATTAAAGCCTGAGAGTGCCTGTCAATCTGCAATGGGAGCTGACTGGTGCCGGCAGGGCAAACGCTGCGGGGGGGGGGGGCTCCAGCTGCTGCAAGCTGCTCAGCAGCTTGTCTGGCCTCCCTCGGCCTGTGGGGTCCACCCACCCCCCACTCGCTCGCTCTGCTCCCTTGGTTCCGGAGCCTCCCGATTAGAACCGGAGCGGTTATTGCGGATCCGCCTGGGACTGCGGGGGGGGGGCGGGCGAGGGAGTAGACGGGTAGGCAGGGGCTGTTCGGAGGGTATCAACTTGTGTTAATCTCTCTCCAACGACACGACTCCAACCAACCTGTCTCTTGTTGAATGTCAGAGTAATGGGAAGTGCCAGTGACAAGAGGACGTATTACTCCTGATTAAGTGCCGTGTCAACCTAATTAGCAGAGTAATTATAAGGTGCTAATGAATGATTCAAAGTTCGGTGAGTTGCATTTTACTCCGAATTGCCGGTTTAAAGACCCACCATGACTCAAAGGTAAACCTGCAGCAGGGGCAAGGCCAGATCTCTCTCTCTCTCTCGTGTCACAAATCAGAAACCCAAAGCTCTTGGGGGTTTCTTCGGCCGACTCAGTCTTTTTTAGAAAAAAGCAAAAAGAGATTGCATAAATACCATAGAGGGACGAATACTTTATTAAAAAGCAGGGAGCGCATTCACTAAATACTTTTTCACATTCTAAAAAAGGGGGGGGGTGTTATTTACAGGGAGGGGCTGGAGACCGGGAGTCGCAGTCCTGCCCCCTGGATCTTCCGGGCTGCATCTCTGCGAGGGGTTCGGTTGCCGGAAAGGAGACCAGAAAGGGTGAGGGAGAAGAAGAGCTTGGGGGGGGGGTGGATGGAGGAGAGCGGCGCTTCCCAGGGAGGCAAGGCAGTTGCCAGCAGGGCTCTCTTCCGCCCAGAGAAGCCCTCGAACGCGACCAGCCCCCCCAGAAGGGAATGCAGATACCTGAGTGAGGTCGCAGGCGTCGGGACAGGCTCCCGCGGAGGGCGGGCTGGGTTCCTCCTTGTGCCCAGGAAAGACGGCTTGGGGTGACTTTTGACAGCTAGCCGAAACCCCCTACATCTGCTTTGGGTCTCCCTATTGCTTCGAGCCCCCCCCACCCTACCTGGCTCCCCCCCCCCACATTCTCCTCTCAGAGGTCAAGCTGGGAATCGCTTGTGGTTACTGATGGATCGCTGGGTGAGGCGGGAGGCAGCCCGGAAGGTCGGCCTGGCGATTCCCTTTGGTGGTATTTTCTTTCCCCCAGGAAAATCCTGCGTCAGACTAAGGAGGCCGGGATTCCAAATGTGCTGGAGTCCGTTTTCGGTCTGTGATATAACTGGGAGCATCGGGGGCGGGGGGGCCCTCTCCAGCTGCTGACCGGAATCCCGCTAGATCGCGCTCACCCAGAGCACGCAAACTTCCCTTCCGATAAGCCAAGCGGCGCGCTCGGTTACCTTCTCAAAGACCAGCATCGGCCTCCTTCTTGCTACGGACGTCCCGTTTGTTTCCCCAATAAAAGTCTGTTCGGGATCACGGCTACCCAATGGACCGGGCGACAAAGGGGGGGGGAATGGGGCTGGGGGGGGGGGGGAGTAGCGATGCGCTGTTCTCTAGGGTTAGCAGCCTCTACAAGAAGACTCCGAGAGAGGAACTGTAAAGTCTCCAGATCTCCTCTCTAAATAATTCAGTTCAAATTCTTTTTGGGTTTGTTATTGAAGCTGGACGAGGGGGGGGGGGCTTGGGAGGTGCAGTTCTCGTGTTCTGTAGTTAGGAAGACTGTTCGATAAGTGTCTTTGACTCCTCTGGCAAAGGGAGAAGTCACGTCTCCCGCAGCAAGAGTACAGAGTAATGAGGGAGCCGCTGCTGCTGCTGCTAATAGAGACGTGCGTTATCAACGCTGATCTCTCGCCTGCAAGGGATGGAGGGGATCACTGTTGTTACCTGCTAAGGTATTCATTCATGCCGTTTCGGGCAGAGTCTGGCGCTGGTCAGGGGAGAAATCTGAGTTGCCGAAGGGCGGCGTTCGGCTGCGGTGCTGGTCTCTCACGAAGGGAAGCGAAAACCTGAGGGCCCTTCTGCTCTCCCGCGGGGTAACTCGGAGAGGGATTCGCGGGTCTGAATGCTGTCCACGGTAGCGACGAGGTCCACCACGTTGCCTTGCCGATTAGAGTCTCAAGAAGGGTCCTGCCCCTGAGAAACCTCAACCGCCCAATGAAGCCGGGGCGGGTGGGGTGGGCTACTTGGGGCAATTTTATTTATTCCTTCTAAGTGGGATAAAGATGGGGGGGGGGGACATCAGACTGATGCTCCAGAATCTGCCATTTAAAAACAACTTAAATCGATTGTGTGCTAAGAGTGTAAATACATGGTTAGAGTTTTGGGAAATTAAGAGCGCGGGAAGAACTCTTCCATGTTAAGACGGCTTGCATCTGATTTCCTGCACAGGTCGGTTCATGGGCTCCTTCAGCTGCAAGCACTTTTTTCTTTATGTCTTCTGGTCATTTAACAAAAACAAAGCATATATTTATGTCTCTCTCTCTCTTTTTCTTTTTAGGAGAGTCCCTTGGCCAACTGGTCGGGTTCGTCATCACAAAAGTAGTTTGACCCCTAAAGCAACAATTGCGGCTGGAAAACAATTGAACTCCACCACCACCCCACACACACACAGGTTAACTTTGAGTTAAAGCAGCTGAAAGATGCGAAAAACTTTGTAATTAAACATTTTTCCCGTGTGTGCGCGTGTTTAAGGCGCCTGGTTTTCTTTCTCAGTTGGTGTGTACACACACATACACACGTATATCTCTTTAAAAGAGGGTTTGCGGTTTCAGAATGAGTGGGAATTTAAATAGATTTCTATGGTAGGCTTCTAGCTAGCCTGCTACCACCATGGAGAAACCACAGATCCGACATGCTGTTCCCAAAGTGTTATTTTTCATGCTTAGCTTTTATTCTAAAACAATAATTAACAAAAGATCCTCCTTGGAAGCAGCAGAAAATAGTTAAAAATTAAGGGAAGGTTATTCTAATCCGGGACATAGGAAATTTCAGATGTTGGCCCAACGAATGCACTCCTTGGTTTAAAAGAAAGTTTTAGAAATCACTGTACCCCAGACTTGCAATGACCTGTTCTTCCACTAGGCGGCAACAAGAGCGATCTCTTTTGTCTCCACAAAGATCTTAGTTACACTTAAGTCTCTGTTACGCAGAGCTACAGAAGAGGTACTTCTGATTTTCTCTTGCTAATCGTTGGCGTCGTGCTAGCAAGGGTGTTCCAACGTGGTACTATTTCTTATTCAGAAATTAACAATCCCTGTGGTTTTTGGAGGCGAAATTCCCAAGAGAAAGGCAGAGGAACGCCTCG